CAAATGCATAATAATGCTGAAATCATCTTACGCTTCCTTAGAGTTTTAAACAAGACAAGTTGACATGTGTGTTACAAACGAAATGAAAACCCTATTGCCTTTGTAATAAAAGGCTGTAGGGAACTCAGTTCACTGGATGAAGACGACTATAATTGTCTATGATTTAGTGAAAATATTTGAGTCAACTCTAAAATTGATTTTATCATTGCCATCAAAGTATGCTACACGTATTATTCTATCTGGTTTCGTAAGGACTTGCTCTTAAAAATAGTTCATATAATACAGGATGACCACACTTCGAAACTTTTGTCGATTTGGGGGAAAAATCAAATAACAGTTTCCCTTCATGTGCGTATGATAGCTTTTGCATTAGAAGCTTGGAAAAAGATACTTAATCGTTATTATTTCTTATAAGTTATAAGTATTATATCATTTTACCGCAGCAACTGAAAACTTACCTCTAAAAGGAGTCACATCGTTAGATGATGGCGTCACCTCCTGATCACATGTGTATGGAGCTGGGGAGGGATCGGATAATATAGTCATAAAGTGCAAAAGAGATATGAAAATAGCACAACAACTCAAGAAACCGTAATTAATGGTGATTTTATCATCATTGTTATTATTATAATTATGTTCCACTCATGCGAGAGGGCTTTAGTATGAAATATAACTTTCAAAGAAAATTAAGTTTTAATCAAACTAATGAACAAAAATTGGCACTTCAAGAACTTCTGTAACAGCACAAATACTCAAACACTTACATTTTTTATTGACCACACGGTAGAAAGCACTGAAGCCAGTGTAGGAGTCTTTATCGTCGGATTTGAATATTAAAAACAGACTGTTCCATGTAGAGAAGATTCCTTCCTCTGGTGGATGATGATCTCCATAAAACACACCCAACAAGTAATCTCTCTCATTTTCTCCATCGTACACATATAGCTCGTCCGTGTCTTCCTCGTTTTGTAATTGGAAGGTTGTGAACTTAAGATGAACTCGTTGTGAGTAATGAACAGTTATTCTCCAAGAGCAGTACTGTCCACTTGGATACTTTTCCGGATGAAAAGGCGATTGAAGAGTGCCATTGTTGGAGTTAAAAGTTTTGTTGCAGCCTACAAGCAAAAATTACGCACTTATAATTGAGTTACTGTCGTGACAAGAGGCCTGCACGAGAAATGATAGAAGTCTTGCACCGTATTAATTACATGAGTGGAAAGCACGCACGCACGCAGTGTGACTCACGATATGGACTAGCTCGTTTTATGACACAATACAACACCTTTATGCATAGTACTGTATCCATTTTCATGTACTATCTAACTTAAATTAACAACTCCAGTGATAATTAGGATAGCAAAAACCTGTCGTATCGTTTCAGTATCTTATGCCATTGCTGAAAATTTAAGTTACTTGACATTTCCACACAATTATGCTGTTTTTCTTACCCCGATAGTAACAGTAATACATAGTTGGGTGTTTAATTCCTGCA